CCCTCCTCTCCTGCTCTTCAGTCATGCTCCAGCCGTTAATGGATGGTACACGGAATTTCCCTTGGATGCTCGCAGTGAAAGGAAGAGCTGCATTAGGTGGATAGCCTGAAGTGATAATTCAGCACTGAACCCCTCACTGCCCTTTATGGCTCTTTCTTTCTGGCACCCAAATTATTTTTGGTCCCCACTTTAGAGGTGGAGCTGTGAATCACAGATTCGGAAGGCCACGAAGGCGTGACCACTTGTAATGTCAGATGGTGGGATCTGGGGACCAAAATAGGCTGTGGCTCCTGTGCTTCAGAAGGCAGCTTGTCTGTGATACATGGACATTTGTAGCACATTTGAGCCAATGGGGTGCCTGGGTGGCCAAGAAGGCCACCAGCATCCTGGCCCAGCTCAAAATTAGTATGTCCAGCAGAAGGAGGGAAGTGGTTATGTCCGTGGACTCAGCACTGTGGAGGCCACAGCTCCAGCACTGGGGTCAGGTTTGGGCACCACAGGATAAGAAAGACCTTGAGGGGCTGCAGTGGGTCCAGAGAAGGGCAACGAAGCTGGGGAGGGGTCTGGGGAACATGGCTTGTGGGGAGTGGCTGAGGGACCTGGGGGTGTTGAGTCTGGAGAATAGGAGACTGAGGAGAGACCTCACTTCTCTCAACTCCCTGACAGGAGGCTGGAGTGAGATAGGGGTTGGTCTCTTCTCCCAAGGAACTAGTGACAGAACGAGAGGCAGTGGGCTGAAGTTGCACCAGGGGAGGTATCGATTGGATCTGAGGCAGAATTTCTTTCCTGGCAGAGTGGTGAGGCATTGGCCCAGGCTGCCCAGGGAGGTGCTGGAGTCACCATCCCTGGAGGAGTTTGGAAAATGTGTAGACGTGGCACTTGAGGACATGGTTTAATGATCATGGTAGTGTTGGGTTGCTGGTTGGACTTGATGATCTTAGAGGTTTTTTCCAGCCTTAATGATTCAATGATTCTGTGATTTGGAAATGGAGGTTTTGTCTCTTGGGTCACTGAACTGTTCTTTACTCTTCCTTTGCAAGGCCACGTTCAAACCTGGCTTTAGTAGGGTGACATCCTTTTTTTTTTTTTTTTTTTTTACTTATTCCAAGCTCTTTTCCATGGGTCTAGCATTCTGTCTGAGTAGCACTTACTGCCCTGACGTGGCAGAAGTGGTGCCTGGGTCCCAGCAGCCTCCAAACCCCAGGGAAGCAGCTTTGTGTGCGTGGCTAATGGTGCGTGTCTCACAGCATCACGTGCTGGTTCTCCAGTTTAAGTTTCAGGGTTCAGGTACCACTAATGATTCACGAGAGAAGAAAGGTACAAGATAGATGGTGGCTTTACAGTTAAATACAACAATAACCCAGAAATGATTTGAAGTACTGAGATTATTTCAGTTGCAAGGGTGAAGTCAGGTGATAATGGTGCCTTTTCAGCACTTCTGGGTCTTGTACATTTTGCAGTTTTTAATTAAAAGCCCATAATCTGCATATTCTTATTCTTTAGATGGGCTGGATGTGCAAAATGAAATAATTGAAGGTTTCAAAAGCAATTAAAAACTGTCGTATCCTAATTTCTAAGTAGTTGACTTTGCAACCTCAATGGTATCTCTCTGTCCAATTAAAAATCCCATATAGAGAGAGTTCATGTATTTCACCACAGGATGAATCTAGAGGAACTTTTTGTCTTCAGCAGTCGCTCCAGATTATCACCAGGGTAGATGCAATTGCTTTTCTTCCTCTTTTTTAATCGTGGAGAAAATTCAATGCTCTGCTCTAGTTGTTTCTGGATGACAAATATCTGTGTTACAAAAGCAATCGATCAATCTTGGTCTAAATAAAAGGTGTTTGGGGTCTCATGTACAAATGGTGCCTTTCTCCTCTCTGCATTGCATCTTGCAGTGCTTTCACTGAAATGTGGTTTGCAAAATCCTGAGAGAAGAAAAAGAAATCTTTATTTTAATCTTTGATTTGTAATTGCTGGGATATCTGTGGCTCCACTTGCTACCAGTGAGGTGTTGTTCATCTAGCTTGCTTTAATGCCATTTTTTTCCAACATATTTTCAATATTTAACCTATTTTACTCATTCTGCATTTCTGCATCTCCTCCCTTTCCTTCCCTTTTCCTTTCGCCCACAGCCCTCAGGTTTGTGGGCTGTAAATAAGGAAGGCAACATCCAGAATTCCTGGGTGAAGGTTCCATCTGGGCTGCATTTGGCCCACAGATTGTGTGGAAGCCTTTTGGCACAGCAGCCTTATTCTTCTGCTGAAAGCAGAGGGTAGAACTCAGCCTGCACAGCCCCGGGGGACCGCAGAGAGGTTGTGTCATGCTGGCTAATCCCGATGATGAGAATGGATTGAATGGAGAGAGGAAGTGGATGCCCTTTTCTTTTCCTTGCTTAGTATTTACCACGTCAATTAGTTTTATAAAAAAAAAAACAAACCAACCAAAACCAACACAACGAAGCCAAAAAAATTTCAGTGGAACAGAGGAGCTGTAGATCGTTCTGGTCCAATAGCATTGTGGTATGCGATGGGAAATATTTCTGCATTCTGCCCTGCCTGGGGAGACTACAACATACAGAACGTGCTGCTATCTATGCATCTTGAAAAAATTCTGCTCTACTTTCAACTAAGTCATCAAAAGAGGATTTTTTTAAAATTCTTTTTCAAAGCGCAGCATTCAAAAGGAAACCTCTTATCTGTTTGAGAGTTCAATACACTGTTGGAAACAAAAGGGAATGAAATCAGCAACCATAGGTCTCTGAGCAACACTGATTTTTAATAATGTAAACTTTCTTCTCTAATGAGTAATAAGCAGTTCCATCTTTCACAGCCTTTTAAAATTGCTTTTAGTAAGCGACTGGATTTGTTTTAATCCTTTTCAATATGTAAAGCCCCAGATATTTCAATCCCTTAGGGGCTCAGTATTTTCTAGCTCTGTTTGAAAAGGCAGAGGAAAACAGCTTTCAGAAATTGACGGAATCTGTGACTGATATAATTTAAATTATGGGGTTTTTTACCCAGAAAGTGACCCAAAAGTGTCAGTTAAGAAAAAGATCTCTGTCATCCCACCCTGTGGATTAGTAGCAAACAGGCGTATCATCTAGGTACAGTAGCTCTTTGTACTCTGACCTAGTTGTTTCTGTTCTGGCTTGTTCCTTCTTGAAAGGTTATTTGGAAGAGCTGCAGAATTTGCTCAATAAACAGCTACAGCAATATCACCTGCAGTGTGAAGTGCCTCCCTTTAAAGTGGACCCTAGCACAATAGACTCGCCAGCACCTAAACCTCTCTGCTCTGCTGCACAGGCAGAACGGATGCTCTAAAAACACCTAAGATGGTTTATTCTGGAGGATGTTTTCCCAAGGGAGGGTTAGGAGAGCCTTGACTGGGATCAAGCTGGTATTTGTGGGGTGTTCAAGTGAATTAATCTTGACTTTATTATTTTCATAAGGTTAGCAATGAATTGCCACTACTGTCCTGTGTACGCCTGCGTTGGTCTTGTGGGTGCGTAACAGTTAACTTAGCGCTGTCTTCTTTCTCCTTAGATATTTCCAGAAAGTGCCTCGAGGAAGCTTCCTTACGGGGAAGAACCCTACAAGAAGCACAGTGGGATTTCTGGCTGCTTGTGAACAAAGCTGTCAAAATGGCAGAAAACAAGGAGAGCACTGTGAAAAACGCCGATGTGAGACCCAAGAGCAGCCGGAGCAGAAGCGCGGACAGAAAGGATGGTTACGTCTGGAGTGGGAAGAAGCTCTCCTGGTCTAAAAAGAGCGAGCACTGCCCTGACGCTGAAACAGCAAGTGCTGCAGGAAGATCAGGAGCTAGTCTGAGGAGCCAAGAGAGGAAATACAGCTGCTCATCTATCGAGCTGGATCTAGACCGCTCGTGCGGTCACAGGTTTTTGGGTAGGTCCCTCAAACAGAAGCTGCAGGATGCCGTGGGTCAGTGCTTTCCCATAAAGAACTGTGGCAGCCGGCACGCCTCAGGGCTGCCCTCGAAAAGGAAGATCCATATCAGTGAGTTAATGCTAGATAAGTGTCCTTTCCCTCCGCGCTCGGAGCTCGCCTTCCGCTGGCACCTCATCAAGAGGCACACGGCCCCTATAAGTCCAAAATCAGAAGACTGGATCATTAGTGATTTATCCCAGCACGAGGAGAGGGAGGATCAGCTGCGAGACGAGGAGAGCGCCAGCGGAGGAACGGACTCTCCCTCCCAGTCCTGTGATTTCCCCGACAGCAGTGATTCGAGGTCTGAGCTGGTCACAGGTAAGGTGGTGAGAAGCAGTAGAGATGAGAGCGACATGGACTCTGACGACGAGGTTATAACACTGTGCACAAGTTCTAGAAAAAGGAACAAGCCCAAGTGGGAAACAGACGATGAGCTGCTACGGATGGAGACCCCCCCGAAATACCACACGCAGATTGATTATGTCCACTGCCTAGTCCCAGACCTCCTCCAGATCAATAACAATCCCTGCTACTGGGGAGTGATGGATAAATACGCAGCTGAGGCACTGCTGGAAGGGAAGCCAGAGGGCACGTTCCTGTTGCGAGATTCTGCCCAAGAAGACTATTTGTTTTCTGTGAGCTTCAGGCGCTACAGTCGTTCCCTCCACGCCCGGATAGAGCAGTGGAATCACAACTTCAGCTTCGACGCCCACGATCCTTGTGTCTTCCACTCTCCTGACATCACAGGACTCCTAGAGCACTACAAAGACCCAAGTTCCTGTATGTTCTTTGAACCCCTTTTATCCACTCCACTGAACAGGACTTTTCCTTTTTCCCTTCAACATATATGTAGAACGGTTATCTGCAACTGTACCACGTACGATGGTATCGATGCCCTTCCCGTTCCTCCCTCAGTGAAGCTGTATCTGAAGGAATATCACTATAAGTCCAAAGTTAGAGTACTCAGGATTGATGTACCAGAGCAGCAAAGCTAGAAAATATTTTTGTGAAAGAATTAGATTGTCTCTGCACAGACAAGTAGTATGTTTGGTCTTTCTTCCTTCTTCTAGGTTTTTTAATAGCTCTTTTTTTCCCCCTTTTTTCTGCAGATTATTTACCACCCAAACTAGCCTCCGACTAAGGCTTTTTTATCCAAATGTACTTTTGAGTCTTCCCAGCTTTATTTCTTTTTACAAATTATATTCATTGTGGGCTTTTGGTACTGCTCCCAGGCTAGATTTTATGGAATTTCAGGTAGGCTTTCTGGTATTTCTATAGATGGCAAGTCTTTAGCTCTAAAACCCCTAAAAATCAGTTTTGAAGTTGACCTGTCTTTTGTCTTTTGTATTGTAATTACCTGTGTTGCTGACACGTTTGAGATAATGCCCTGTTAACTAAAGATGGACTCATCTGTATTTTCTGCATTTCTTTTAAAATGAGCGTTGTAGCCTCTGTATGTCTGTCCATGTCTAACACAGCAAATTCATCAGTCTATTTCTAACATTACTATTCCTAGCAAAATGAAGTTTGAAAGAGGAGAAGATCTTGCTATAAATACAGCAGGGGATGAAACACCAGGGAGGAGAAAAAATTCAAGTGAAGGACAACACTCGGTGCAGGAACAAACATGTAGAAACTGGTCGTGAAAGGATTTGGGTTGGAAGAGAGGGAGGCTCATCACCAGCAGAGCAGCAGGGCTCTGGAAGAGCTTTTCATTTTGTGTAATAGCAGTAAAAAGCAAACTACTCATAAAGTGGGATTTGATCAGTGTCTGGAAGGGATAATGATATAGTTACTTATGATAGATGGGACTTGGACTTGGTAACTCTATTTCTGTGTTAGTATTTCATTATATGAAATATCCAGTTTTCACTGTGGGAGCTGCTGCTTCTGAAATGGTAAGGCACAGAGTGGGAGGGTGAGAGGGAAGAAATTTCCTTAAAAATCTGCAGATGGAACTATCTGATCCCATATGATTGGTCCTGAGGTCACGATGAAGAACTTTCTTACTTTGTTAGTAGGAGGGTTATTTCTTTAATAAGTATGGTTCAAAAAAAAAAAAAAAAAAAAAGCCTGCAGATTTTTCTTGCAATGTGAAGCATTTGGTCGAATGGCCTCCTGCCAAATTCCACACAGGGGAAAGCCAGGCATGGATAATGCTCCTGAAAGCATTACTTACGTTACGTGGAGAGGAGATCAGTGCTGAGGTATTGGTGAAATCCCCGTGAGACTCAGTGGATCTGCTGCTTTCCAGGCTGGCCTCGGGGTGTGCTCCAGGAGGTGCAGCAGTCACCTGGGGCTCTGTTGTCTTCGCTTGTAGGTGCTTTATCTCCTCTCACAAAACTGAGCTTGGAACTACTCTGCTGAAAGTCCCTGAGGTGCTGTGTAGTTGTAGCTACAACAACCGCAGTGTTTCCTCGCAGTTCATCACAGGGAGATTTGTGTCTTCTTTAAATGCTTTTGGAATGGAGACCCCAGGCCTGCAGAATTGGGAATGTGTTTAATTTCGTGCATGCAAGAGATCTTATCAAAGATCAGCCATTACCTGTGTGCAGGCGGTTATGGCAGCGTGCAGGCTGGGAGCAGCAGAGCACAGTGCCATAGAGACTCACTCCCAGGTTGCAGACAAAGACAAAGCAATATTTCTACTTGAATCTTTTAATTTCACCTTGTACAGAACCCTGCAGATTTGTGCACATCAAATCTGTCCTCCAAGCTGAGTACTCAGGAGTTATGAAGAGAGCTTTGCCATGCAACTCCACCAGGCACCTGCTGCCCTTGTCCCCTTGCCCCCAGCAGAGCAAACCCTTTCTACTCAGCTGCTCTCACTGTGACGATGAAAAGAGGTTTCCAGACATCTGCTTAGAGACCAGCCCGTTTGTTTTCACTGTTTTAAATAGGTTTTGAACCAAAGTCTCCAGGGAGAAGAGGCTAACGCATCAATCTATCGTATCACACGTGGATGAAGATGCTACAGGACAAATGCTCAGCTGCTATAAACCAGCGTGGCTTTAGTGATATACTCAGAGCAGCTTAGACCAGCTGAGATTCTCCCTCCTCCACGTGCAAAGGATAATTGTATGACTGATGCCAGAAAAAATTCACCCTTTTTTTTTTTTTTTTTAAGGTAATCTTCTCCTTGTGCTGCTTCCTTTCAACTGACACTGCCTTTTGCATAAAGTGTATTCAAGCAGAGTCTCATCCTAGTAAATCTCTTTTTCCCCTCACTGCCATTTTTTAAGCACAAAGTGAGTGAGCAGCAGGGATCATCTTTGCTCTGCTCTTTTACACTGTGCCCATCATGGTGGCACAGTGGCCTGGGATTTGTGTGGCTTCAGCAGAAATAGGATCTGGTTCAAAATCTGCCTTCACAGAGTGACGTCAGGGGCAGTTGCAGTCTGCTTGATTAAAATTCCAGAAACACTTAATTAGGGCAAAAAGCTCCCTATTTTAGATAGAGATCAGCGTTATTATTATTTTTATCACAAGACCACAAAAAATAAATTTCAACCACAACTTATACTTGCTTTGAAAGTTAGTGAAGGTCACCATCTCCTTCAGAATCAGCAAAGATTTTGTCCCTTCGAAATGAAAGGCTATGAGGGAACTTTTTTGGGGTACAGTTCCCCAAAACGCTGTGTTTTCCATGTCTTTCTGTGTGCAGCCTACATTGTTCTGACATCTGTCGATGCATCACTTACCCCAAAAATGTCTTGAGCACTCCAATTTTAGGAGACCTATATAATATAACGGTTGGTGGGAGAAGGTGTGGCACATAAAAATAGTGCCTTTGGACTGTGGGCCAGTTAATGGCGTTTATTTAGAGAAGTCATATGGAGAAAATACTGATGAATGGGGATTTGTGGAAGTTCATATTTTTTTCTTGTTTTATCTGACCAGGTTGTTCATACCTGTGTGACATCTGTACCTAATGACAGTGAGTTTTGTCTCTGTGAGGGAAGGATCCGTTTCATGACGTACATTTTTTAATGCAACTGTGGTGGGTTGACCCTGGCTCAGTTGCTCAGTTTAGGTTTTTTCCCCACTTCTTAAATACATTCTCCCAGAGGTGCTACCACCATCGTTGATGGGCTGGGCCTTGTCCAGCAGTGGGTCCATGTGGAGCCAGCTGCCATTGGCTCTGTTGGACCTGGGGGAAGCTTCAGCAGCATCTCACAAGCCACCCCTCTAGCCCCTCCTCTACCAAAACCTTGCCATGTAAACCCAGTACAAAACCACGAGAACTCAAATGGTGTTTTTTGCTTAAATCCATGTAACCTTTTTTCTCTTTTTTTTCTTTTTTTAATAAACCTTGTAGAAATTAACTGGTTCTACAATATGCCAAGAATTATGATCCTAAGGTTTTCCTCCTGCTGGTGTCATTAACAGTCTTACCAGTGCTGTTCACTCTGATAGTAGTTTATAACACCTTGCATCTGAAGTGTGAGCCAAAGGTAACCAAGTCTTAAAGTTCACTGTTGAAGCCCTCAAAAATTAGCCTCAGAAGCAGGGTAAAAACTTCCAGTTTCTAAGCCCAAGCTCTTGTGAGAGATCCCAGGTTCTTCAGGATGAAGATTAGATGTGAGACAAGGAAAGGGAAGTGGTTGTTCCCCTGTACTTGGCACTGGTGAGGCCACACCTTGAGTACTCTGTTTGGATTTGGGCCCCTCACTAAAGAAAGACACTGAGGTTCTGGAGCATGTCCAAAGAAAGGCAATAAAGCTGGTGAAGGGTCTAGAACACAAGAGAAGGAACAAGAGATAAGATGAGGAGATGGCCTCAAGTTGCACCAGGGGAGCTTTAGGCTGGACATCAAGAAAAGCTTTGTCCCCAAAAGGGTTGTCAAGGCCTGGAACAGGCTGCCCAGGGAAGTGGTAGAGTCACCATTGTTGGAGGTATTTAAAAGACACATAGAGGAGGAGGTGCTTAGGGACACAGTTTAATGGTGGGCTTGGTAGTGTTACATTAGTGGTTGGACTCAATGATCTTAAAGGTCTTTTCCAAGCAAAATGATTCTATGATTCTGCATACAGAAAGACACATGCTCAAGAATATACAGCAGCTCAGTGGCTGGGTGAGGACACAATCTAGTGGTGACACTGGCCAAAGCCACCCTCTGTTTTGGGGCACCCAACCAGCTTTGCATCAGGAATTGTGTCAGCATGATGTGGTTTGTGTTGTTTTGAAGGTGGTTCAGTAGGAGGACAGTAGAAACACAGCATATTGAATCTGTGTGAACAGCTTCTGGTAAGAAAAAAGATCTGATTTTGATAGATTGGTTCAATATAAGGGGGGAGAGAAGGTCAAGCTCTTGATGCACAATGGGCAAACAACATATACGAGCTATTTTTACAGGATGGTTTTAAAAACTTAAACATTCTTCCAATTAATGACGTTTTCTGGAGTTTGCTCTTGCCTGAAGTGACTTTTTGCAGCTCTGTAGTAACGCTGGTTGTTGGCCCAGCGCCGTCAATACAGCACAAGCTCCATCAGGATCATCGATGGCTTTGGGGCAGGTTGTGTGTCTGATAACTGGGACACACATTTCTTCTCCATTTTCCTCTTCTCAGCACTTGTCTTGATGAGATCCAGGGCACGCTGAACAGGGTATGTGGATCTATAAGTAGCATGTCCAGCTTTGAAGAAAATAAACAAGTGATCGTATTTTAAGCACTTTCCTTTTAAAGGTGAGAGTGTGTTTCCAGTACAAAGAAGAAATCCTTGTATGATGCAGTCATACATGGCCTTGCTGTAAAATTGACATGCTCTTAAATAATTAAAAAGGGGGATACTTTAATTTTGTAAAAGGATGCTGGAGGAAGGAGGTTAAAGGAAGCTCTTAGTCAGCTCTAAGGTTAGATTTATTGATCTAGTGATCAATCCTTTTCTCTTTCCTGAATTTAAAGCTAATGGGAGGCTGTGGTCAGAGATGAGTGGCTTTTAGTTAAGGTTTTTGACTCTTATAAATAATACAACAAATGTCCTAGTAAGTAATAAGAAATAAGATACTCTCTCATTCTTTTTAAATAGAACAAATGTGGCAAACAAGACTCAGCTGTAATTTTTGAAGTCATTTATTAGACAAATTGCTCTTCTCTACTTCTTTTACAAGAGAGACATAAACCATTATATTATTTATTCATGAATCATAGCCATTAAGATGATAAATCAAATTATCAGCTTCCTGTCTCTCTTCAGTTTTAATCATTTTTTATAGTTCATGCAATATAAAGACAGCTTCCTTCCTATGAAACAAGAGACCTTCAGAGACCTTTTTATTGTAAACGTACATTTCCTTCCCATTTTTAAGTATATCCTAGTGATTTTGTCTGTCAATTTTACCTGCAATAAAAATCCAATAAGGAACTTGTACATTGATTCAATATAGCAAAGTT